CTAAAATATTAAATTTATAATATTAAAATACTAAATCTGTAATACTAAAATTTGTCAAATATTTCAAATTTGGCGTATGTACATACACTTTCGCGTCCGGCAGTATAAAAATCCGTACAGCGGCATATTTCAGAGGAGACGACCAATCACGAAGAACGATCTTTCGACCCACTGAGAGACATACGGTTAAAGTAGAGACGAGTGAAGAAGGACGAGTCTCAACGAGAGGAGATTTCGTCGAATTATACGTATAATGACGCACACCCCCCCTGTGAATATTGTTTTCCGGATCACGAGCAGCTAGTTGGCAGCATAATTTGATTATGCTGCTGTTCAGGCTGTTCCATTATCGACCATTAGCCGGTTTCAACCTTTATACCGAGACAACTCACGGTACTGTCTACTTCAATCGTTTAGTTCCTTGTTTCAGCAGCCTCAAGATTTAATATACTATACACGTGTAGAAAGCCGACAAAGATGTTCTATAACAACTTGTCCACCAACTTGCACGTTCTTGTTCCAAGTTTCTCATGCTATCATTGAAAAATCGCTTTATCGATGCCTCTTTAGGCAAGGATTTTACGTTAGAAATTACATTAAGTACCTACTTAGAGCCACGTAATTAGAATGATTTATTTAGGAGGAGAACGATACTGAAACTTTCCCATACTGTTAATTTCCACGGGCTAACAGCGTGTCTCGTTAACTCGATAAGAACAGCGTGGAATGTTTGTACTTACATAGAGTTACTCTAAAAGAATAGTCGAACACTATAGCGTTAGCGTATCGATGGAAATTTTCTTTTTCAAGCTCATCTTCAGATTTTTATCGATAAACCTGTAATTCTTTTTTTTTTTTTTATGTTGAAGCAATTTTCAGAATGGCACCTTTCAGTTGTTAATAAAATAGTCAATAGTTAAGAAACAAACTGATAAAATGTGTATTATAGTCATTCTGAGGAACTTTTTGAATTATATATACAATAGAAAAGGCCTCGATAATAGAATAATTTAAGATGATCACGTTACGCGGTTCAACTTGGATAAGCTTGTCTTTTTGGTGACGTATTTTGGTTAATTATAAAAGAATAAGGTTGATATTTTTTTATTGTGAAAAACTACTTCGAGATCACGTATTGTTAATTCAATGCATTTTCTTACATGACATTGTAACACAGATTAATCGAAATTATATCCAATTACTGTATTACACAAATATTTAGCCATATAGCAGCGATGAATATTTTGAATATTCGTAGTATAATGTTCGTATTGTGCATATTCGTAATATTTTAAATATTAAAATACTAAATGTGTAATACCAGAATACTGAGTTTATGACACTGACATACTAAATTTATAATACTAAAATTTTCTGAAATATTTGAAATTTGGTGTACATATATATTCGCGTCTAAAAGGTATAAAAATCCATACAGTGAGATATTTTAGATGGGACAACCAATCACGAAGATTG